TGTTGGCTCCATTGTCGCACTCCTGCGTATCGGGGGAATGAGCCACCTTTGCGTCGACATTGGCCGCCATGAGTTTGGACGCTGCAATGGATGTCAAGGGGGGCACTATCATTACACGCGCCAGAACGTATCCCCTGGACATGCTCAAATCACTCCCCCGCCGCATCCTTGAGTCTGCCTTTCCTGGAGCAGGTCAGGTCAGGCACTGTGCCAGATGGCGACGCGAACATAGCTTTCCATCAAGCCCCGAATGCACGGTGCACCACGCGAGCACGAGTCAGTTCGTTCGACCCCGGTGGGAGCCGAAGAATATCCAGTGTTCTCGTTCGCCTGGGAGAAGGAGGATCGGCGTCGGGCCCTGGGGGAAGTGAGAGGGGCGGGCCTTCTCAGCAGGCTCGGCAGTCCTCCCGGCCTTCCGAGAATTCTAGACGCTTCGCGTATCCCCACCAGCCCGTCCAGAAACGACGCCCAGGCGAGTAGAGGGTCGTCCTGAGGGGCTTTTCGGCGTCTTGGGTGCCTCGGGGGGGCCTCTGTGGGCCGTTCGGGATCCTCTTTGGGGCCTCCTGGGGGCCTCTTGGGGCCTCTTGGGACCATCTTGGGGCCTTTGGGGGCCTCCTGGGCGCTTCTTGGGGCCATCTTTGCCCCCTCAGGAGGCCAAAATGGGGCGCTCTTGGGGCAATTTTGGAGGACATCGGCCAAGGAAGTGGGGTTCCCTAATTACAGCCCCCCCCCAGGAGCTCCAAAAATCGCTTCCTGGACCCCTCTTGGATCGCTCTTGGAGCGCTCGTGGCCGCTCTTGGAGCCATCCTGAGGCTCTCTTGGGCCCCTCTTGGAGCTATCTTGAGCCATCTTGGAGCCATCTTGACGCGTCGGATGTGCATCGCAAGCGAAAAAGTGAGAACACCAAAAACATTGATTTTCCCTAGGGTTTTGAAGCATGTTGGCCTCTTGGATGCATCCTAATGATGCTCTTGTGGGCACTTGGAACCGTCTTGGGGAGTTCTTGGAGCGCCTTGGAACATCATGGGGACCATCTTGAGGCATCTTGCGCTATCTTGAGCCATCTTGGAGGTCATCTTGAGCTCCCTGAGGCCCTCTTGGAGCCGTGTTGGGCCGTCTTGGACGCTCTAACTACCCGCGGCCCCCCGTGTCCAGGTCAGTGGGGAGGGGGTAGGGGGAGGGGTAAACCCCTCCCCGAAGGGGAAGAAGGAGGGGTGGAAGAGGAAACGCTCTAAACCACCGACGCCCAGAGGGCTGGTGGGATTTTCCCGAGCCCTCCCCCGGAGACACAGGAGACGTGTCCAAAGGCCCGAGGGCTTCTGAGAAGTCCCGCCGCCTTCTGGGAAGGCCTCCTCCCTCTCACCTGCTCCCCTGGCTCGCCGCCGAGGAGGAGGAGGAGGAGGAGGAGGAGGAGGAGCAGGAGCAGGAGCAGGAGCAGGAGCAGGAGCAGGAGCAGGCGGAGGAGAAGGAGGAGGAGGAGGAGGAGGAGGAGGAGGAGGATGGCGTGGAGCACGATGGCGGGGCGGGGGAGGAGGAAGAAAGGAAGGGAAGGGGGGGGAAAGCAGAGGACGATGGGGAGGAGAAGAGGAGGGGGCGGGGGGCGGCGGAGGAGGAGGAGGAGGAGGAGGAGGAGAAGGAGGAGGAGGGGCCTGGCTGTCTGAGGCGACGGCGACCTGTGCTGGCTTGTGCACCCGGGGGGGCCCTCGGGCGCTCTCAGGGTTCGGGGTCTCCTGCCCGGAGCGTCTCGCTTCTGGGGCTCCCCTGGAGCTCTCGTCATCCTCGCTTTCTTCCTGAATCCAGTGCGGTCGGGAACTGTTGGATACGGTCGGACCGAGGCATAAGATCGATGTCGGCTCGGGGAGGGTAATTACCCAGTAATGTTCTTCGTGTTTGTTCGCATGTTCTTGCACATCCTTGGGGAGGATGCCCTCGAGTGTCCTTCGGCTTGGCCAGCGGAGGATCTCGTGCTCTTGAAGGATGTCCGTATGGCCTAGGTCCGACAGTAGCGTGTCGCTTCGCGGGTTCTGGCCCACCGCGCTGCGGCACGACACGCTGTTCACTTCTCCGGTCCCCGACCGTGAACGTCCCGAGCTTTTATGAGCCCCCCCCTGGAGCGGAGCGATACGCTATCCGCTCGCAAGGCATAGCGTGTCGCCGGGGCTGCCGCAGCGACACGCTAAGCAAAAGTTTCCGACCGTAGACATCCTTTGAATGCCTCCATGCCCTCTGCTTCCAATTGCGCGTGGAAGCTTCTTGCCATACTTTGGAGCCTGTCCGCATCTCGTCGGTGGCTTCTTCAAATTTCCGCCAGCACCCCATCCTACTAGATTTCTTAGGACCCTCGTTGGGGCCACGGCAAGGATTCTCACCGCGAAGGTCCAAAGGTTCAAGCAGGTGAGCCGAGCTCGAAACTACCCCAGCGTCCCCAGGGATCACCCGTGACCTCCACACGACAAGCTGTCTCTGCAGAGAAGAGCTGCAGACGCATATCCAGCCCGGTACGCTTCAGTGGAGTCGGCTCTGCGCCGCTTCGGAGCAGCTCGTCGTCACTACTGACCAGTGTATGGCGGTCTCGGCCACTACCTCGCACCACCGACAGAGAGAGCCCATGCATCACGTATGTCGAATACGGTCGGACCGAGGTATAAGATCGAGGTCGGCTTGGGGAGGGTATCCTAATGTTCTTCGTGCTCTTTGGATGCTCTTGTGCATCCAGGGGGCGGGTACCCTCGAGGGATCGGACGGTTTGGTGCGTTTTGGCCGGAGGAGGGTCCCATGTTCTTGAAGGATGTTCTTCTGTTCTGGGTCCGATCGTATGATCGTATGCATTGGCGAGAGGTGCGATCGGGTGGAAAGGGCAAGTTGGGGAGGATGGCAGGAGGAGGCCGGCAGGCAAACTGGCTGGGGACAGTGCCCGCGCAGTGATCCCCCTCTCGGGAGAGGGGCCCGGTAGCTTTGCTTCTCAGAGCCTCGAAAGGTCCGCCCGGAATCCGCTCTGGCTCGGGGAACAGGAGAGTGAGGGCAGGAAGCAGAAGGAGGAGTTGGGGAGGGAGGAGACGGGAGGAGAGGGAGGTGGATAAGTATTTAGCAGCATCCGCGGCAGTTGCAGCAGCGGCACAAAGAGGCGTAGCACTACATGTATTTGTCTGCGCGTCTGTTGGTGTATGTAGTGGTCGTGTTGTCATTGCAAGCGCTGGTCAGGAAGCGTGCTCAAAGCCTTGCACTGAATACGGGGGAGAAGAAGGAGTACCCATAATCAGAATGAGGACAATGAAGCTAACAGTACTAGCATTAATAATAATGATGTGAATATTACTAATAATACTACGGATCAGAATGGCACTACGAACAAGAGTAACAATAATAATACTAACAAGAAGAAGAACAGCAGCTGGAGGGGCAGGAGGAATCATGGATCGCAGGGGGAGGAAAGAGGGAAACGGATGTGTATGGACGAAAGGAAAACAGGATGATGATATGCAGAAGTAGCAGCAGCAGCTGCAGCAGCAGAGGGGGAGTAGGAGGAGGACGAGGAGGAGGAGAAGGAGGAGCGGGGGGGGTAAGGACAAAAAGGGGGACGTGGAGCATGAGGATAATGAGAGGAAGGGGAAGGAGGAGGAGGAGGTTCAGCAGCAGCAGGAGCAGCAGGAGTAGCAGCAGCACTGGCATGGTGAGGAGAAGTAGGGGAGGATAAGGAAGGAAAAAGGAGGGGCAGCAGGGGGAGCATGATGATGATGATGATGATGGTGGTGATGGTGATGGTGATGGTGATGGTGATGGTGATGATGATGATGATAATGATGATGATGATTGTGATGGTGATGGTGATGGTGATGGTGATGGTGATGATGATGTTGATGACGATGACAGCGATTACGATGATGATGCTGATGATGATGGTGGTGATGATGATGAGGAGGATGCGGATGAGGATGTTGATGATGTTGATGATGTTGTTGATACAGGCGGGGCAAGCCCCCCCGGGGGAGGGAGGGGGGAGGGGGGGGAACAACACAACACAACACAACGCACCCCTACAGGAGGATCCTGTGGGATCCGTACAGGGTTCCATAGGATTCCGACACGACCCTTACAGGGTTCCATAGGACGCCCATAAAACCCCTACAGAGTTCCATCGGACTCCCATTCGACCCCCACGGGGTTCCATCGGAGTCCCATAGAACCCCATACAGGGTTCCATCGGACTATTTCGGCGCACCCCTCACGCGGCTCGTGGCCCTACAGGGGGCGCAGCCGAAGGCTTCGGGACCATTTCGGTCGCTCCCTCAAACGGGTCGTGGCCTACTTGGTGAGAAGAAGTTGGAGTTGGGGGGGGGGTTTGGGGGAGGGGGTGGGGTGCAGGGGGTTGTGTGTTTTATTTGTTTGATTTTTTCTTATTCTTGTTTTGTTTTATTTTTTTTTTTTTTTTTTTTTTTTTTTTTTCTTTTTTTTTTTTTTTTTCTTTTTTTATCTTATTTTTTCTTTTGTTTTTTTTTTTTTTCTATTTCCCTTTTTATTTTTTATTTTTTTTTTTCGCGGCCCCACATGTGGCGCACCCGAAGGCTTCGGGCCCATTTCGGCGCACCCCTCACACGGTTCGTGGCCCCACAGGGGGCGCAGCCGAAGGTTTCGGGCCCATTTCGGCGCACCCCTCACACGGTTCGTGGCCCCACATGGGGCGCAGCCGAAGGCTTCGGGATTCTTTCGGCGCACCCCTCACACGGTTCGTGGCCCCACAGGGACCGCACCCGAAGGCTTCGGGCCCATTTCGGCGCACCCCTCACACGGTTCGTGGCCCCACAGGGGGCGCAGCCGAAGGCTTTCGCTGCCCCACATCGGGCGCACCCGAAGGCTTCGGGTCCATTTCGGCGCACCCTTCATACGGTTCGTGGCCCCACATGTGGGCGCAACCGAAGGTTTCGGGCCCATTTCGGAGCGCCCCTCACACGGTTCGTTGCCCCACATGGGGCGCACCCGAAGGCTTCGGGCCCATTTCGGTGCACCCCTCACACGGTGCGTGGCCCCACAGGGGGCGCAGCCGAAGGCTTCGGGACCATTTCGGCGCACCTCTCACACGGTTCGTGGCCCTACAAGGTGCGCAGCCGAAAGCTTCCGCGGCCCCACATCGGGCGCACCCGAAGGCTTCGGGCCCATTTCGGCGCACCCTTCATACGGTTCGTGGCCCCACACGGGGCGCAGCCGAAGGTTTCGGGCCCATTTCGGCGCACCGCTCACACGGTTCGTGGCCCCACACGGGGCGCAGCCGAAAGCTTCGGGGTTCTTTCGGCGCACCCCTCACACGGTTCGTGGCCCCACAGGGGGCGCAGCCGAAGGCTTCGGGTCCATTTCGGCGCACCACCCACCATAGGGTCCCTGTATGGGCCCACAGGGATCCCACATGGTCTCTGCAGGGATCCACACGGATCCCATAGGGTCCCTGTAGGGGTCGACAGGGATCCTATACGGTCCGCGTACGGACCCACAGGGATCCCATAGGGTCCTTGTGGGGATCCACAGGGATCCTATCCATAGGGATGCTCTAGGATCCCTATAGGAATCCATAGGGATCCTCTAGGCCTGTTGTAGGGACCCATATGCATCCTATAGGGCCCCTGCAGGGATCGATCGGGATCCTCTCGTATCCCTGCAGGGATCCATGGGGATCCTCTAGGATGCAGGGATCCATAAGGATCCTCTCGTATCCCTGTAAGGATCCATAGGGATCCTCTGGGATCCTTGTAGGGGTCCATAGGGATCCTCTAGGATCCCTGTAGGGGTCCACAGGGATCCTCTAGGATGCTTGTAGGGATCCATTGGGATCCTCCGTAGGATCCCTGTAGGGGTCCACAGGGATCCTCCAGGATCCCTGTAGGGATCCACAGGGATCCTCTAGGATCCCTGTAGGGATCCATTGGGATCCTCCAGGATCCCTGTAGGGGTCCACAGGGATCCTCCAGGATCCCAATAGGGACCCATTGGGATCCTCCAGGATCCCTGTAGGGATCCATTGGGATCCTCCAGGATTCTTGTAGGGATCCATACAGATCCTTTAGGATGCTTGTAGGGATCCACAGGGATCCTCTAGGATGCTTGTAGGGATCCACTGGGATCTTCTAGGATCCTTGTATGGAGCCACAGGGATCCTCTAGGATGCTTGTAGGGATCCACAGGGATCCTCTAGGATGCTTGTAGGGATCCACAGGGATCCTCTAGGATGCTTGTAGGGATCCACAGGGATCCTCTAGGATGCTTGTAGGGATCCACAGGGATCCTCTAGGATGCTTGTAGGGAGCCACAAGGATCCTCTAGGATGCTTGTAGGGATCCACAGGGATCCTCTAGGATGCTTGTAGGGGTCCACAGGGATCCTCTAGGATGCTTGTAGGGATCCACAGGGATCTGCAGATCCCTTGTCCTGTTGTTTTAATCTTTAATTTGTAATTTAGGGTCCTTGTAGATATGAGGATCCACAGGGAGTCTATAGAGTCCCTGGAGGGATCCACAGGGATTCTATAGAGTCCCTGGAGGGATCCACGAGGATTCTATAGAGTCCCTGGAGGGATCCACACGGATTCTATAGAGTCCCTGGAGGGATCCACAGGGAGTCTATAGAGTCCCTGGAGGGATCCACAGGGAGTCTATAGAGTCCCTAGAGGGATCCACAGGGGTTCTATAGAGTCCCTGGAGGGATTCTATAGAGTCCCTGGAGGGATCCACAGGGATTCTATAGAGTCCCTGGAGGGATCCACAGGGATTCTATAGAGTCCCTGGAGGGAGTCTATAGAGTCCCTGGAGGGATCCACAGGGATTCTATAGAGTCCCTGGAGGGAGTCTATAGAGTCCCTGGAGGGATCCACAGGGATTCTATAGAGTCCCTGGGGGGATCCACAGGGAGTCTATAGAGTCCCTGGAGGGATCCACAGGGATTCTATAGAGTCCCTGGAGGGATCCACAGGGAGTCTATAGAGTCCCTGGAGGGATCCACAGGGATTCTATAGAGTCCCTGGAGGGAGTCTATAGAGTCCCTGGAGGGTAGGGGTCCACAGGGATTCTATAGAGTCCCTGGAGGGATCCAAAGACTCCTAGAGGGTCCCGAACGGATTCCGATGGGAATCCGTAGGGAGCTTGTAGGATTCATACAGAATTCATACAGAATTCATACAGAATGCATACAGAATTCGAATTCATACAGAATTCATACAGAATTCGCACAGAATTCGTACAGAATTCGTACAGACTTCTGTACGTCTATTACCTGTGTTGTTCCCCCCCCCCCCCCCCTCCGACTCACCGGGGGGGCGGGACCGGCCTTCTCCATTGTGGCGGACGCGGGAAGTGAAGCCCCGGACCCCGGGGGGACCATGCCGGCCTGCACCATGTTGTTGATGATGATGATGATGATCATGACCATGACCATGACCATGATCATGATGAGAAGAGAGAGAGGAGAGAGGAGAGGAGAGAGGAGAGAGGAGAGAGGAGGAAGAGGAGGAGGAGGAGGAGGAGGAGGAAGAGTACCGCCCTCCTCAGGAGCACAAGCACTTGGACCCCCCAACCAAGGCTGGACGGGGCCGTGCACGCTCGTCCCTACCTGGGGAAGGGGGCGAAGGGAGGGGGCACACCTCGTCTCAGGCAGGCCTGAGAACCCCGAAGTCGGTGGGGCCCCGCCCGGCCCTTGCTGGAGAAAGCACGGCGGGAGGACGGGGTCGAGCCGTGGACGTCCGGCGCCTCCCTGCGCGGCCTGCCCGCGGGCAGGCCGCGGGGGAGTCGCTGAGGCGTGGGCGGGCCACTGGATGAGGAGCACGCGTGTTTGGCGGCTTCCTCCAGTCTGCCGGATGGGGGTGCCAGCCAGGCCCGACGGCGGAGGCGGAGCACGGGCGAAGCAGGGAGAGGAGGAGGCGGAGGAGGAGTAGTGAGCAGAGTAAGCCTGGCATGCGCGATTGATGCTGCAGCACGCGCCTCTGCAATGTCGACCCCCCTCCACCCCATCAACGTCGCCCCCTTCGATGTCGAAGCGGGGCGAGACACGGTCTGGCCGGCGCGTTTCGGATGGTCTGCGATGGCCGACATTGAAGAGGGGGCGCCAACAAGTATTTTGCACGCAGTGCCACCAATACCTAGAACATCGAATGTATTAGTAAATTGCGCAACTCACTTTTGATATTGATGTGGTCGAGGGTCCTACGGTCGGGAACTTTTGGATGGCGTTTCGCTCCGCTGGTCCTGGCTGGCCCACCACGCTGCGGCGCGACATGCAACCCACTTCCCAGTCCCAAAGCGCCAACGTCCTGAGCCCTTCGCAGCTTCCCGCCCCGCGGAGCGGATCGACACGCTATCCTTTCATAAGGCATGACGTGCCGCCAGGGTTGCCGCGGCGACACGCTGCGCAAGCATTCCCGACCGTATGCTGCTAAAGTGCGCAACTCACGTTCGAGATCCGACGGAGGAACACGGAGTCGACTCGACTGCGCCGACATTGGCGCGGAAGCTGCCCGCGCAAGCTCGCGCGCAATCGCCCTCTTCTCCACGCGGTGTGCCGCGCTGGCGACCCGCGTAAGCCGCGGCGCAAGGTAGCCACGCTGTCTCGCGTAAGACCCGCTAGGTGTTCCTCGCTCATTGTGTGCTCGGGGGCAGTCGAGAGAACGGCGGCGTCGGAGGTCTGGGTCTCCCGCCGGGCCTTGCACGGGGAGGGGAGGAAAGGAGGCGGAGGAGGAGGAGGAGGAGGAAACAGGGGGAGGAGAACAGGAGGAGGAGGAGGAGAAGGAGGAGGAGAGAAGAGGAAGAGGAGGAGGAGGACCAGTGTACGTAAACCCAGGAGTCATCAACGATGTTGGAAGTAACCTTCCCTCTAGGCCCCATCTTCATAGGCCCCTACAACGGTTCATTTCCACTGAGAGAACTGCCTCGTTGGAAGACAACAGTTTGAAGATCCTGAGGCGTGCCAAAACATTGCTCTCGGGATTTCAACGCCACGTATCAACCTGTCTGCTGCGTCTTGGCGATCGAGAATCGTGCCATAACGCCGTATTTGAAACTTCAACACAGCAAATCAACATAACTGTTGCGCCCGCACAGTCACGAATCCTTCCAACACACCTTTTCTGAGACGTTGAAATTATGTAGAATCCGTGAAAATCCTGCAAATGTTTGAAACGAATGTGCGCGGCGCTAAGGCGAGAGCCACTGTTTGAAATCGACCCGCCCTCAATCCGTGGAACTCTTGTAACTTCTTAAAACGAATGTGCGCGGCGCTCAGGCGAGAACCACATTTTGAAAGCGACCCGCCCTCAATCCGTGAAGCTCTTGTCATTTTCGAAAACGAATGTGCGCGGCGCTCAGGCGACAGCCACATTTTGAAAACGATCCGCCCTCAATCCGTGGAACTATTGCAATTGTTTTGAACGAGTGTGCGCGGCACCGAAGCGAGAACCACATTTTGAAAACCACCCGCCCTCAATCCGTAGAACTCTTGCATTGTTTCAGGCGAATGCGCGCGGCGCTGAGGCGAGAGCCACATTTTGAAGACGACCCGCCCTCAATCCGTGGAACTCTTGTAACTTCTTAAAACGAATGTGCGCGGCGCTCAGGCGAGAACCACATTTTGAAAGCGACCCGCCCTCAATCCGTGAAGCTCTTGTCATTTTCGAAAACGAATGTGCGCGGCGCTCAGGCGACAGCCACATTTTGAACTGTTTGTCATTTTAAGCTTCAGGTCATAAGTGGGTGAGGAAGTCTCTGGCGAACCGCCCGCCCGCCTAAGAATTCTCTCGGGACCGGGAGGAGTTATCTATAAGGAGAAGGAAAGAGGAGGAGGAGGAGTAGGAGGAGGAGGAGGAGAGGAGGGCGGAGGAGGAGGAGGGAGGAGGAGGAGAGGAGAGATGAGAGAGGAGAGAGGAGAGAGGAGAGGAGAGACGAGAGAGGAGGAGGAGGAGGCGGAGGAGGAGGAGGATGAAGAGGAGGAGGAGGAGGAAGAGGAGAAGGAGGAGGAGGAGCGCACCCTCTTCCCGCGAAAACGCTTCGCGACTTAGTCCAGCAATTGCTCGCTCTCACTTCACAGGGAGCCGAACGCGCGGTAACGCGTGCGCAGGCTCGTGCAAAAGACAGGCAAGTGGAGCGGCAGTGACGATTGTGAACATGTACATAAGAGATCACCGGTGCAAGCAGCATGCTCACAGCACCAGGAGCACAAGTGTGCGCCGAAGCGCGTGTGTAGTGTGGGAGGGTAAGCAGGATGGGCCAGCGCGACACTAGATGCTGTCGCCTGTGCTGCTCGGCCCGCCATCCGCTTCCCGAACGAGGAGCGAACGCAATGGTGTCCAGCACTCGGTCATTGCGGCTGAGCTGCAGTTGGTTGCGCTCGGTCGGTTTGGTTAGGCCGAGTGTTGCCCGCCACGTGTATGTATGAAAGAGCGCGTTCTGTGGTAGCTTGGAGGGGGGGGGGGGTGAAACCGGACCCCCCCCCTGGATGGAATGGGGGGTCGAACCCCTCCCTCTCCCGCGACGGAGGGGGGTGGGGTTCCAAACCCCCTCCCCCCCCCCTTCCTCACCTGCTTCCCCTCTCCTCGGGCCGGCGCTTGCGTCGGCGACGGCTGGCGGCGGCGGGGACGACGATTTCCTTTTCTGGGCCGGCGCCGGCGCCTGCGGCGGCGGGCGGCGGCGGCGGGGAGCGTCGACGAGGACGACGGTAGTGGTGGTGGGGGTGGTGGTGGTGGTGGTGGTGGTGGTGGTGGTGGTGGTGGTGGTGGTGGTGGTGGTGGTGGTGGGCTGTGGTGTGTGGCGGTGGTGGTGGTTGTGGTGGTGGTGGTGGTGGTGGTGTGGTGGTTTGTGGTGGTGCTGGTGGTGGTTGTGGTGGTGGTGGGTGGTGGTGGTGGTTGGTTTGGTTGTGGCGTGTGGTGGTTGTGGTGGCGGGTTGGTGGTGATTGATAATTAATGGTGGTGTGGTGGTGGTTTGTGGTGGTGGTGGTGGTGGGTTGTGCTGGTGGCGGTGATTTGTGAAGTGGTGCTGGGTGGTGGTGGCGGTGGTGGTGGTGGTGGTGGTGATGTGGTGGTTTGTGGTGGTGGTGGTGGTGGTGGTGGGTTGTGCTGTGGTAGTGTGGTGGGCGGTGATGGTGGTAGATTGTGGTGGTGGTGGTGGTGGTAGTGGTGGTGGGTTTTTGTGGTGGTGGTGGTGATGGTGAGTTGTGGTGGTGGTTATGGTGGTGGTGTTGGCTGTGGTGGTGGTGGCCGTGGTGGTGGTGGTGGTGATTTTAATGATAATTTAATGGTGGTGTGGTGGTGGTTTGTGGTGGTGGTGGTGGTGGGTTGTGCTGGTGGCGGTGATTTGTGGAAGTGGTGCTGGTGGTGGTGGTGGCGGTGGTGGTGGTGGTGGTGGTGATGTGGTGGTTTGTGGTGGTGGTGGTGGTGGTGGTGGTGGGTTGTGCTGCTGGTAGTGGTGGTGGTTGTGGCGGTGGTGGTGGTGGTGTGGTAGATTGTGGTGGTGGTGGTGGTAGTGGTGGTGGGTTTTTGTGGTGGTGGTGGTGATGGTGAGTTGTGGTGGTGGTTATGGTGGTGGTGTTGGCTGTGGTGGTGGTGGCCGTGGTGGTGGTGGTGGTGATTTTAATGATAATTTAATGGTGGTGTGGTGGTGGTTTGTGGTGGTGGTGGTGGTGGGTTGTGCTGGTGGCGGTGATTTGTGGAAGTGGTGCTGGTGGTGGTGGTGGCGGTGGTGGTGGTGGTGTGGTGGATGTGTGGTTTGTGGTGGTGGTGGTGGTGGTGGTGGTGGGTGTGCTGCTGGTAGTGGGGGTTGTGGCGGTGGTGGTGGTGGTGTGGGTAGATTGTGGTGGTGGTGGTGTGGTGGTGGGTTTTTGTGGTGGTGGTGGTGATGGTGAGTTGTGGTGGTGGTTATGGTGGTGGTGTTGGCTGTGGTGGTGGTGGCCGTGGTGGTGGTGGTTGTGTGGTGGGTTGGTGGGGGTGGTGGTGGGTTGAGGCGGTGGTGGTGGTGGTAGTGGTGGCGGTGGTGGTCGGAGGTTGGGGGTTGAAATCGAAGTGGAACAGAGAGCCCCTCACCAGGAAATCGGTTTCGGTTTCGTGTTCGTGCGTGCCGTGCGTGCGGGCGAGGCGAAGCTGCGTGGGCGGGCGAGAGGAAAGTCTCCTGTGGCTGAGACGCGGCCAGACCAAATGATTCTCCCTCCGGCAAGCGGTGGCGCGCGGGTCCCGCCGGTGCCCCGCTTGTGGCTGGGCCCCAGCCAGACTAAATGATTCTCTTTCCGGCAAGCGGTGGCGCGAGGTGTCCCGCCGGTGTCCCGCCGGTGTCCAGGTGTCCCGCTGGTGCGAAATCGATAGCGAGACCGATGGCGAAATCGATAGTGAGATCGATAGTGAGATCGATAGTGAGACCGATAGTGAGATCGATCGTGAGATCGATAGTGAAATCGACACCAAGGCTCGACACCCAGTGAGATCGATAGTGAGACCGATAGTGAGATCGATCGTGAGATCGATGACGTAAACAACTCGACACCAAGGCTCCCAAGAGCGAACGGCAACGCAACAATCACCACCGTTGCCCATTGCTGGCCCCCCTCCCCCCCAACCTCCTCATCACCCGCAGGGTGGTCGTATAGGTAGTGGTGGTAATCGTCGCTGCGTCCCCGCCAGCGCCAGCGCCAGTGCCAGCGCTGAACCCCTCCCCCCCCGCCCTTTTGGTCTGCCTCTGGTCATCGTCGCTGCGTCCCCGCCGTCGGCGCTGCTGGCGGCAGCCAGCGCCGGCGCCGGCGCATGGGGGGGGGGTTGAACCTCCCCCCCCCTTGGGAGGGGGGGGGGGTCGGGAGAGGGGGGGTTTGGGAGGGAGGGGGGTCACCTTGATTTTGGTCGAAACGCGCCGCCGAATGTTCCCAAGGCAACCGCCTGGGAAACGCGTTCTCGTATATGTATATGTTTATACATGTTTGTACATATTTGTATATACAAGAATGCATTGGCGCTTCGCGCCATGCACCTTGGTCCTAGAGGCTTTGCGTCTGGCGGTCGTTCGTGCCATCCCTAGTCGCTGCAGAAAGTGGACTCCTTCCCTGCGGTGGTTTTCGAAAGTTTTCGAAAGTTCGGGCGGTTCATGGCCTTTCCTGGGCCCCAAAGGGTCCTCGAAAGGCGCTGGGTGGAGGGCGAAGGATAGGAAGGAGGAAAAGTTCGTGGGGCGAGGGATGGAAGCGGATGTGGGGGATCGAGGACGAGTGGTGGAATGGCAGAAAAATGAGGAGGAGGAGGAAAAGGAGGAGGAGGAGGAGGAGGAGGAAGAGGAAGAGGAGGAGGAGGAGGAGGAGGAGGAGGAAGAGGAGGAAAAGGACGAGGAGGAGGAGGAGGAGGGGAGAAGGGGGAGGAGGAGATGAGGAGGAGGAGGGGAGGAGGAGGAGGAGGAGGAGGAGGAGGAGGAGGAGGAGGAGGAGGAGGAGGAGGAGGAGGAGGAGGAGGAGGAGGAGGGAGGAGGAGGAGGAAAAGGAGGAGGAGGAGGAGGAGGAGGAGGGGGGGGAGAAGGAGGACCCAGAGGAGGAGCAGGGGGGGGGGGGAGGAGAAAGCGCCGTCGGGGGACGGCGAAGGATTTCGCGCGCGCCGCGCCGAGGAGCGCTGTCCGACAGCCGCCCCACCCCGCGGGCGGCTGGTCCCTCGAAGCCGAAAGCCGGGCGGCAAAGGGCGAGGGGCGGGGGCGGCGTCGGGGCCCAGGGCCCGCGGGTCTCACGCGCCGCCCGCGGCCCGCTCGGCCGTCCAGGCCGTCCAGCGGCTCCCTTGGGAGGCTCTCTCTCGGGCCGTCTCGGGGCGATACCAGAGGCACGTTTGGCTGCTCTGGACGCTGCTAAACCCCGAGCGGCGAATGTGCTCAGGAGGTACGTTTCCCTCCGGCGATGAGGCGATTTTTGCGCCTGGGGAGTCCTGTTGAGGGCCCCCCCGGCGCCGTCTGAAGGGCCTCTGGAGGCCATCTGGGTCCTTATTGGAGCGCTCCTCTTGTGCTGTCTTAGGTCTCTCTTCGGCCTTTCTGATCACCGCTCTGATCGCTCGGGGTCTGCTGGCAAGACCCGGCCGAGCGCCCTGGGAGGCCCGGGACGAGCTGGGGGACTTTCGGCAACGGTGTCCAGGGGGCCCGGAAACTTCAGATCCTGGGGGGTCGGTTTGGGGAGGGGGTGACGGGTTCCCCCCTCCCCCGGGCTTGTAAAACAATTAGGAAGAAGAGCAATATTGTGATGGCTCCTCGCGCCATACACCTTGGTTCTCCTCCTCCTCCTTCTCCTTCTCCTCCTCCTCCTCCTCCTCCTCCTCCTCCTCCTCCTCCTCCTCCTGGGAATACACAGAATCCAGGGTTCGCCACGGATTTCAAGGGAATTTTGTTGCGAATCAGGGATTCGGGTCAGTGTGGTGAATTTCGTAGGAGACGCCTACTGGAAGACACGACCGTGCAAAGGAATGACGTTCGGGGTCCTTCGCGTGGCCACCACACGGGCTCGCTCGTGGCCCAAGTCGCCCAGTCGCGCAATGCAAGGCAATGGAAAGCAACGCTTCATCGTTCCTCATCGCACTTCTCGTTCATCCACGCTCTCGCCAGGCATTGCTAACCATTTCCCGTCTGCCGCACGTCTTTTTGCGGAGGCTCCTCGTTGGAGAACCTCTTGGGGGCCTCGCGAATGCCTCTCAAAGGCTTTGGGGATCTCTGGGGGCCCCCTTGGCGCCTCTTTGGGCCGTCTTGGGGGTCCTTGTGAAGCCCGTGTGGGCTGTCTTGGGTCCCTCTTGGGGAACTTGGGCCCACTTGGGGGCCTCCCATGGCCCTCGTGGGTCTCTCTTGGGAGCCTTTGGGGCCTCGTGAGCTTGTTTTGGACCGTCTAGGGGCAGCCTTGGGGTCCCCTTGGCCCAGCTTGGAGCCCTCTTGGAGGCCTCTTGGGCCGCCTTGGGCCGATCTCGCAGGCTTCTTGGGCCGTCTTGGACGCTGTTACGACACAGACAACGAGTATGCTACATGTACGTTTTCCTCCGGGAATGGGACGACGTTTGCCTCGTGGGGGCTCTCCTGAAGGCCTCTTGGGGCGTCTTTGGGGCCTCTTGGACCGTCTTGGGGGCCTCTTGGGCCGTCTTGGGGGCGTCTTCCGCTGCCGTGGGGCTCTCCTGCGCCTGTCCGAATCTCTCTGATCGTCTTGAGCTTGCTGGTAAGGCCTGGCAAGGCGCCGTGGAAGGCGCGGAAGGGCTGGGGGGCTTCTTGCAAGGGCGTCCAGGGGGGCCTGAAGCTCCAGATCGAGGGGGTCCGGTTTTTAGGGGGGGGCTTCCGGCAGCCCAGGGAGTCCGAAATACGTTCGGGGGGGAGCCTCGTCTGAGGTCCCCGGTCCTATTAAAATGCTTAGTAGGAATATACACACAGGCACCCTGCAACGGGTTGGTCCCTCGCCTCGGGGGAGGGTGGCGGTATATAACCCACTTCTGGGAGCCAGCGACTTCTACACCGCCACCCTCGCGGAATGTACGCGCGAAACTCGTCGGAGGGCGCCTGTGCATGCATGATCGGGGGCTGGAGGCCCACGGGCCACCCACCCCCCAGCAGGGGTGGGTTCCAGGGCTCCACGGGCCACCCCCCACTCATGGGATGGAAGGGGGGGCGACGACGACGACGACGACGACGACGACGACGACGGCGACGACGGCGACGACGACGACGACCTCCGTAGCCCTCCTGAAGCACCACAGTACCACAGCCACAGGGCGGGGGGGGACCATCGCGCGGGAGGGGGAGGCCCATGGCATCAGCATGAAGGGGGGGGAGGGCCAGACCCTGGACCATATATTTCTCCATGGCGTATGTTGTGTCGTCGCCGCCTCGCTGTGCCGCTGCGCCCTTCAGGGGGGGGCCATACCCCGGACCATATATCTCCGTGGCGTCTGTTGTGTCGTCGCCGCCTCGCTGTGCCCTTCTCGGCCGCCTGCGGCCTGACTGACTCGGTCGGTTCCGGCGTCGTCGTTGCCGATTCGGGCCGTGCTCGGTCGCGCCGTCGCCGGTGCGCGGCCCCGGGTGCGGCGGGAAGGTCCCGCGCAAGGTCACGGACAGCTCGGGCGCGGTCTTCTTCGTGTTCGTCGTGGCTCGCCGCCCCGCGGCACTCCCCCTTCTGCTGGGCGAGGTAAAGAGCGAGAGAGAGAGAGAGGGAGGGAGGGAGCATGAGGAGGAGCAGGAGGAATGGAGGAAGAGGAGGAGGAGGAGGAGGAGGAGGAGGAGGAGGAGGAGAAGGATGATGATGATGAGGAGGAGGAGGAGGAGGAAGAAGAGGGGTCAGGAGGAGGTGGATGGTGGGACGAGGAGGAGTCAGGATGTAGCAAAGGAGGAGGTGGATGGAGGATGGTTGAGGAGGGAAGAGGAGGTGGACGTGGACTGAGAAGTAAGAGGGATGAAGATGAAGGAGGTAAGAGGGATGTTTCGAAGGGGAAGGATGATGATGAGGAGGAGGAGGAGGGGATTGGAGGAGGGATCCTATGAATTGGGAGGACAAAAGAAAAGGTCGTTGGGATCTGCAGCAGGGGGACTTAGAGGGAGAAAGTGGAGGAGGAGAGATGGAGGAGGAATAATGATGACCAGGACGAATTTCACTGACCAAGCTTACAGGTTTACGAGGAGGTAGAGGGGGACAGGAGGTGGGAGTAGGACAATGATGTTGGAAGAGTGAGGGAGCTGGATTGCGCAATGAGGAGGAATGACCAGAAAGGGAAAAGCGTTGGAGGGATGAGCAGCAGCAGCGGCAGCCGAGAGGAGGATGACGAAGAGGGAAGACAGAGTAAGAAGAGGATACATGAGGAGCAGCAGGAGGAGCAGCACGGGGAAGGATGGAGGAGGAAGAGGATGGAAGTAGGGAAGGGAACGCTGTAGAGGAGGAGGAGGAGGAGGAGGAGGAGGGGATGGCATGGAAGCAGGGGGAGGGATGCTGAGGAGGGTGTGTGTGGGGGGATAGGGACTGGAAACAGCATGCTGAGTATGCGAGGAGAAGGATGATAATGATGCTGCTGACGATGATGCTAATGATGATGATGATGATGATGATGATGATGATGATGATGATGATGATGATGATGATGATGATGATGATGATGATGATGATGCTGATGATGCTCATGCTGATGCTGATGCTGATGCTGATGATGATCTGATGATGATGATGATGATGATGATGATGATGATGATGATGATGATGATGGTGGTGATGAGGTTGTTGCTGTTGATGATGATGAGGAGGAGGAGGAGGAGGAGGAGGGAAGCGGAGTAAGAGTTGGGGAGGGCATCGAGGAGGCATGCGGAGGATGGAGGCAGATATTTATCCGCTGGCTTAATATGTAACATTATGTAACAGCATGCGCAGCATGCAGCAAACGGAAGGTGCAGGCAATGTGGAAGGCAGGGAAGGAGAAGGTAGAGGTTGAACAGGAGGAGGAGAAATCGTCCTTAATCTTCAGCTTCTCCCCTTTAGCCCGGGAGGGAGGAGGATCAGGAGAATGCGTGAGGAATGTGGAGCTTGGAGCTAGAAGGAGGAGTAGGAGGAGGAGGAGGAGGAGGAGGAGGAGCAGGAGGAGGAGGAGGAGCGGGACCAGTGTGAACCCAAGGCGCACCAACGATGTTGCAATATGCCCTCCCTCCGAGTTCCCTCTTCATGGATCCTTAGAAGAGGTTGTGTTCACTGTGTGAAGTGCCCCATCGGAAGACAAGCGTCAGACAATTTTCAATCTTGCCCAAGCATAATCCCTGGACTTAAGCGCCGCGGGTCGACGTGTCTTCTTCGTACTGACAACCCTAAGCCGCACCAGAACACCATTTCTGGACCTTCAACACAGTGATCAACAATGTTGTTGCGTCCTGACAATCGTAAGTCGTGCCAGAACATCGTTCCTGGGACTTCAGCGACACGAGTCGTTGGAACGGCTGCGAGCTTTGACCACGAATGTGCGCGTCGCTAACGCGAAAACAACATTTTGAAAAGGAACGGCCCTCCATTTCACTCCATTTCAAAGTGCTGCAAACGTTTAAGACGAATGTGCGCGGCGCTGAGGCGAGAGCCACATCGGTCGAATAGTGCATGGGGCGCATCGGGACGGGGAGGCGCTGTGTGATTTGAGTCTAGAGGCCTGTGGTTTTCAAGGCCGATGCCCCTGCTAGACTCCCTGAGCTTGAAGGTCACGAGCATGGGTCGTAACCATTTTGGCTCAAGACTCAACTTCTACTCGTTCCTCATCACTCATACCATATCCACCCTACCCCTCTTCCTTTCCCATACCGTTCCGTGCCTTGTTTGTACAGCGTTGGGAGCTGTGTACTGAGAAGAGAGTGCGAGGGTTCTCTTGCTGGAGAAAGGATCCGACACTTTGGCTTCACTGCTGTCGTCCGTCGGGCGACAGTGGTAGCGGAGCTGTGAGCAGCTCTGAGTCCGCGGACCAATGACGGCAGCAGCGGAGCAAGGTGCTAATCGAGAGACACAGCGAGAAGAACGAGGGGAACATTCTGCAGTACGGGCAGTGACTGACACACTGATGAGGCATGACGGTCTCAACCTCGACCAAGATGAGGCAGAGAAGTTGGCACGTCTTTTACTACTGGACGTGGTGCCGGCCAGTTCCCAGAGTCACCAGCGTGACCCACATGGGGACGACGATGACAGTGGACGTCGGCGCGGTCACGGGCAGAGCTCAAGTGCTCCGTGGTCAAGCGCCGAGGATCGCTCGTGGTCAGGCTGGCATGCACCACCGCCAGAGCACGAGTCGACGAGTGCCAGGACATGGTCCGGTGGTGGCGCGGCCGCGTCCGCCACCGAGACGTCCCAGGGCAGGTCGGAGCAGTGGCATTCGGGTGGCTGGGACGCGACGAGAAGCACATGGCAGGAGCCGGACTACAAGCCTGGCGAGCAGCAGCGGGCTTCTTCGCGATCCACCTGGACTCCGGCTTCGACCTGGGAGAGCTACGGGGACAGGCCTTGGAAAGACGAGCATCGGGGCGACTGGTCATCCGGATGGAGATGGAACGACAGCTACAAGGACAGCAAGTGGGAGCCCAATAAGCGCCACTCCGGACATGATGACGACCGCTCCAGCACGAACACCGGCAAGGACTTCGCCGACCCCGAGAAATGGAGAGGCTGGGGGGGCTACCGCATGTGGCGCCGCACGGTGCTGCGCTGGAGAACACTGACGGACGTTCCCTCCCACTAGCAGGCTGATCGCCTCTTCCGCTCTCTTGATCAAGACCTTCAACGGAAGCTCGAGGACCTCGATGACGACACGCTATGCAGCTCATGGGGTTTCGACGCCATTATCAAACGCCTGGACTTGATGTCTGGTGAAAGACACGGCGACGAGCGACGGAAGGTCGCTCGAGAGTGCTTACTGGATTATTCACGCAAGCAGGGAGAGAATCTCACCGAATATTGTGCACGTGTGGACACGGCCTTCGACAGGGTAGCTACTCAGGGGCTGCCGCTTCCAGACGAGTGGAAACTGATGTTCCTGGAGGAAGGAGTTTCTCTCGACGAGCGCTCGGCGCAGATGGTCAAGGTGCTCATGAGGGACCAGAAGGACTACAAGTCGGCTCTCTCGGCTATTCGGGAGATGGACATCCCCCATCGAGAGCGTCTCAAAGCACGGAGGACCTACGCCACTATGGGCTCGGAAGCACCTCCACCTCAGGTGCCTACCTATCAGGTCGAGCGCGACGACGAGTCCTTGCTCGACTATTCGGATGTCTCTTCCATGGACTCAGACGGGGAAGCAGAGGTCTGGGCGATCCTGGAGTCGGCCGACGTCGGGGAGGACTACGCGCCTGCAGCGCTGGCCGCCATTAACCAGGAGCGCCGCAAGACATGGAGGCAGAACCGCGACTTGAAGAGACAGCTGAAGACCGACCGGAAGTTCTACGATAGGTCTGGCCAGGGCCGTGGCAGTGATGGGTGCGAGACAGGCCCGGCCACAGGGCAGCAGACGGCACGTTCAGAGCGCGGAAGAGCCGCCTTCCGCTTGCTGAATTAATTAAGCGCACGGGATGCCGTGTCTGTCATCAGAAGGGACACTGGTCTCGAGAGTGCCCACAGAAGCAGGGCGCAGGGGCCAAGGACGAAAAGGGTCCCCCGCCACGGGTATGACTTTCCTGTGCGCGAACGCTTTAGATCACTCCACCTCCCAGTGCTTTGACGAGCCTCCTCCTCCAACCTACGCAGTTGCCCTGCTCGCCGTAGGTCCTGGGGCCATGGTGGTCGACGCCGCGGCCGGTCAGGGCCTCGTAGGAGAGCAAGCTTTGCAGAAGATCGAGGGGCACTGGGCTTCAAAGGGGTTCGCCGTCCCAAGGGTCCCACCCAGGAACCCAGGCGCGCGCGGAGTAGGTGGGGGGGTAAAGGTCACCCACACCGCTCTGATCCCTGTAGGCATTGAGGGTAGCATGGGGGTGCTGGAGCTGGGCGTTCTGGACCAGGACGTTCCACCCTTTTTGCCGATAGGATTTCAAGAAATGCTAGGTGGGATTGTAGATCTTCCGAACACAGCTCTGACTTTGACGAAGTTGGGGGTCACGACGCCTCTGACTAGGCTCCCGTCGGCCCACCGCGCCATACAGGTGGACAAGTTTTCGGTTTCCGCCAAAGACTTTAAAGCTCCAGCCTCCGTGTTTAGGTCGCGCCCTCAGCTGCCGAAGGATGCGTTTCAAGCCAAGGGGAAGTACATCATCGCGTCTTCTGTCAGCACTGGCCTGGGGGGGCTGCACGACGGAAGCTGCTGGGGGGGTCCGAGGGGGACGGAAGAGCGTCCGAGGGGGTCCGGGACCTTTTTCTGGGGGAATCTTAGGTCAGATGTAGTCGGGACGCACGCCGGGGCCTTAGTTGGGCTGGACAACTCAGGTTCCAGAACCGGTCCGCTAAGGGGTCTGGAGTCGGGCGGCACCTCCGACTCCGCGCTGAGCAGTACGTGTACTTCGGGACTCGCCAGGGCTTTGAGTTCCAGGTCGAGACGTTTCAGAGCCAGGGGAGGGTCGACAGCGCGGGGTTGGAGGTGGCCGACGTGGGCCACGAGGCCAGCCTCGACTTCGTCCGCCTTCCTCGCAGCACTTGGGCTCGAATCATTCAGCTCGCAGCAATTCGGCAAGAGCCTCGACAACTCAGAGGCCGATTGGAGAGCAGATCGCGACGCCGCCAGCTGCTTCGATGACCCGCGTGGCTGGCCAGAGGGGGCGTCGTGGAGCTCAGGAGCGGCCACATACGATGACGGATCGCACGCAGAGCCAGACGGACTCAGCATGGGTCTACGGGGCCACCGGGACCTACGTCCCGGAGAACCTCAACAAGGGCGAGAAGGGATGGGCCTGCTTGGCCGGGCGGGTGCTATATTGGTCGGCGCGTCTGGCCGAAGAGTTCGGGAGTATGTGCCGCGCCAAGCGCTTCTGGCCGACCAACCTGCCCAAGTCTCTTCGTCGCCTCTCGGAGGCGTACGAGACGTGTTGGCACCCACCGACGCTCGTGAACTGCGGAGCCAACTCTTGGGGGAAGTGGTTCGCATGCAGCGGGTGCACGATGAGGGTCGGATATTGTGAGCTGAGGCCGACAAAAGGGACCGTGAAAGAGGAGAAGATGTGCCTGTGCAAGAAGAAGGACGCCGCGTGCGCGCTGCGTGGACAAGGTTGGGCTCAGGGCGCGACCGCCGAGCCACAGTGACAGGCCTTGATATGCGTGCCCAAGCCACCTCCTGGAGCCGAGAGGGCTCCGTTACCTCTTCACCCGGGCATGATGGCCGGAGGTCTGGCGGGCGGCTCATTCATGACGGCTCGGCAGCCAGCGTATCAGCGAGTGGCGGAGGACGCGGCGAAGGTCACCGAGGCGCTGCAGAAGGATCAGGCGGGACAGAGGTCCGCAGCAGCAGCAGCAGCTCGCCGGGCGTCCTCAGCGAAGCGCAAGCCAGGGGGCGACACGGAGGCCATGGACACCGCCTCCGACCCACTCGAGGAGATGCGCGAGTACCAGGCCAAGACCGAGAGGGACATGAAGGGTATGGTCGAGAGTCAATTTCAGGAGATGAAGGCCATGATCCAGGGGGTGATGGCCTCGCAGGCGTCGCAGCAGGAGGCGCTCGAGCGGGTCACGACCACCGTAAAAGAGCAGATGACGGCGATCGCGACAGCCCAGGGACAGGCGCAGGAGGCCAGCCGAATGATCAGGGCCATAGCGCAGGGCAGCTCGAGCAGCAAGGCGGACCAGGTCAAGGTCGCAGCCGCTGCAATCGACTCTCCCCCCAAGGCGGAGGCCAGGGCACCGCGGGCTCGGGAGGTTCCACAGCGGCCAGTGCCGTCGGGGCATCCTTCGTCACTGGGCCAGCAGATGACCGAGCCACAGCCTCAGAGCCTACCACCTCTCGCAGCGGGGGCGCCGCCAGGAGTGGCTCCATCAGCGTGGGCCTACATTGGGACAGCACCTCTCGACGGGACGAGTGTGCCGGCGGCGATGGCCTCCCAGGCGATGCTGCACCAGCAGGCGGCAGCCAACGCGGGAGCGCCGCATCCGACGAGGTCGCCAGCGCTGGGAGGCTATCCGACGTACGGTCCCCCGGTCGAGCAGAAGAAGGACGCAGTGTCTCCTCCCCGCAATCCGGACCGCCTCTTCACTGCGGACGAGATGCCGATCGGCTCCACGGGGGCGCTGACCACGGAGGCCAGCCTTTCACTCCCGGGCACGGACCTGGCAGCCCCGCCGACGGCAGCAGTCGGCCCCTACGGCAAGGGCAACAACAAGGGCAAGGGTACTCCCTCACGCAAGCCGGAGAACAGAGACCCGTGGACGCCGGGCCCGGAGGAGAAGGCCGCCGAGAAGCGGCGCCAGGAATACCACGAGTGGAAGGAGGCCGGGTGGAAGACCTTCCACAACGGCCGCTGGACGTGAGCGGGCGCTTGTCTCAGGAGCTGAGGGCGAAGAAGCTGCCTCATCCCGGGGGGTCACTTTTTCAGTTTCTCCGGGGAAGCTCAAGCGTCGCCAGGTGCTGGATTCGCTTCTGTCAATGCTGTCAAGGGGGCGTCGTGGGGATCACTCCAGTCCCCCGGTTGGGACTGAGGTGGCGGAGTTCCGAAGCCTGGTTTACAAATTGAACTGGGTTGGACGGGAATCCCGTGCTGAGGCTGCCGGCTGCGCGCCCATTCTACCCAGAGCTTCTTTTCCGCGGAAAATGTGCGGAATAGATGTTGCTTCAACAAGGAAAAAGTAATCAACGGAAACAAAGGAAAACTGCGGAATTCAATCGAACATGAACAAAAAACAACGGAATTGCGGAATTCGAATAACAAAACAAAATAACAACGGAAATGCGGAAAAAGCCATAAACTTATCCACCATTGACGACGTACAGTGTATTACGTTTAACGTGTAATATTATGCATATATCATGTAACATATATGTAATTTGTGACACGCCCAATGTGCATATGATAGAACTATAGGCATACATATTTGTATCGTTACATAAATTATACTGTGCACTGTACATCTTATGCGCGCATGCACATCCAACGTTGTTACATTGCTTGTGCGCATGCAGTGCAGGGGTATGTCACATGTCAAATTGCAGTTCGTTTCTGTAGTTACATTTGTTGTTGCATGTTTGCGGGCCCGTGCGGGGCTTGTTGCCGCAGGCCCTGATTGGGCCTGTCGGCTAAATCGCCGCGGGTCCACCCCTGGAGAAAAACGAAAAACAGCATGGATGTTGACATACCCTTGCAAGAGAGCGCGCGAGGCCGCGCGCTGCATCGGCCCAGGTTCAAGGCGCGCAGGGCCCAGCCGCGAACGCGTGGCACCAACGGCCCTGGATTTCCCTCACTCATTCCTTCTTCGTTCGCCCCGCCCTCTCCTGTTTCTCCATCCTGGCCCCGCCTCCCCCTCCTCCTCCTCCTTCTCCTCCTCCTCCTCCTCCGCCTCCTCCTCCTCCTCCTCCTCCTCCTCCTCCTCCCCCTCTCCTCCTCCTCCTCCTCCTCCTCCTCCTCCTCCTCCTCCTCCTCCTCCTCCTTCTTCTCCTCCTCCTCCTCCTTGGGTTCCTCACCCCTTTTTCTCCAGGGTTGTCTGCGCCAGCCCGCAGAGCGCGCGCGATGGCGGAGCCCGTGGACTCAGAGGGCGACGGGGAGGACTCAGAGGGCGACGGGGAGGAGGAGGCGTCTGCGGCCTCTGTGGCCAAGGCGCCGCGGGAGACGAGGAGGGGAAAAGGAGGAGGCGGAAAAGCAGGGGGAGGAACAGGAGGATGGGAGGATAACAAGGAGGAGAGGGGCGAGGAGAAGGAGGAGGAGGAGGAGGAGGAGGAGGAGGAGAGGGAGGAGGACGAGGAGGAGGACGAGGACGAAGAGGAGGAGGGAGAGGAGGGGGAGGAGAGGAAGAGGAGAAGGAGGAGGAGGAGGAGAGAGGAGGAGAGGGATGGGAGGGAGGGGGAGACGGAGCGAGAGGAGGAGGAGGAGGAGGAGGAGGAGGAGGAGGAGGAGGAGGAGGGGGAGCGATGAGGGCGAGGAGACGGAGGAGGAGGAGGAGAAGGAGGAGGAGGAGGAGGAGGAGGGGGAGGAGGATGCACCCGCCTTGACCCTCCCTGCGCAGGCGCTCATGCCGCACATCAGCACGGCCCCCGACTTCTTCCTCTACCCATCCAATGCTCGGAAGAGCCCTCCAGTCAGAGCAGTGCTGAAGAAGGAGGGGATGGGGGGAAGTAGACATGAGGGGATGGGGGTCGCAGGAAGATGACGAAATAACGGAGCGTTGGCGAGGAGGTGCGAGGAGGATGAGGATGAGGAGGATGAGGATCAGGAGGACGTGGACGAGGAGGAGCATAATAAGAGGATGAGGAGGAGGCTCAGGAGGATGCGGACGAGAGCGTGAGGATAAAGAGACGGGAATAGTGAGGAATGCCACATAAACGGGCATTGGCAGAACATGCCAATGATCACCGCCCTCCTGCAGATGATCCAGGATAGCAGAATCAAGAAATCAACTATGCGCGAGGCTCTCAAGCTTGTTCACGACATG